TGAAACCTCTACCTTATGGTCAGAGCTGTATATCACTGTATACATTCTCAACAGGCCTGACAATTACTGTAAGAGAAAGAAATGAAGCTGTACATTCTTTATAACTTTTCATTTGAAAACAGCCAGAGAAAGTAACTTACACAAGGCATTGCATCTATAATAAAACTCAAATGACTGCGGATGAGGGCCTGTGTCCACAAACTGAGTTTTTTGTGTGCTATAAGCCCCCTTTTTCTCTTTAAAAAACCCATGTAGTTAAGCGTTTTCAGGGGTACAAACAAGAGGTTTCTGAGGGTATAATTTCCAGGTCTTTGTTTATACCCAGACATGTTTCCTTTCCATTGTTTTTACATTTTCTTTGTAAAATGTACTTAAATGAAATTGAATCAAAAGCATTCAGAGCAACTTAAAACAGACCTGTCACTACTAAGGGAAGCGGAAGCGCAGCAAGACAATGTTTGTTACCTAGCAACGGTAAGCGCCAGTTAGAATCCTTTTTAAATTAAGGTTGTGAGCACTGTCAGCACAAAAACACCAACCAAATGTTGTTAGTGGACACGGGCACTCAAAATTTTCAGCTGAGAACTCCACACTGCTTGTTATCATCTATGCATTCAACTATGTACAACAAATAGTTCCAACCAAGTGATCGGATTGGACAAGATACCCTCAATGAGCGTTGGTATTCAGTGTGACATCATCTCATCCAGTGGTTCTGAATACAGTTAATTAACATGATAGCAAGTTGGGCATTGTCTTGAGTCATCAACCCGCTGCCTCACAAATGCTTAGAAGAAGAACAAGTGTTTTATTAAAGCAATGTCACACTCAAGTCTTTGATGTGGTGCTACATATCACTGCGGCCTCATGCCTACAAGTGAATCTCCACTGCGCTGATAGTCAGTGCAACATCACTCCCCCTGTGATATACAGTAGCTCCATGGTCCAGATGAATACTCTTATGATTGGCTACAGGGTGCCAGATAATAGATACCTATGACAAGGTTCAGGTAAAACTATTGCTGTTCAATTCACAACTTTATGTGTGGCCAAAAGAACCCAGACTCATCAAAAAACATATAGGTAATTTTGGGACAATGGCATGGCTGCCTAGCTAGCTACTGTAGCTGGTCTTGTTAATAATATACCTTGAAGCTATTTTTGTTTCTTTTAACCTTTCTCAATTTGTGGTGTTTAATCTTGCTTAAACTGTGTCCTGCCAGCACACAAGTGTCAGATATCACATGTCATTATGCAACATCTGATGCTCACTGTTTATACAGCGTCTGTTAAATATGTAACCCTGTGTGCTGTGAATATGGATATTATTGTTGCGCTAAGAAACACAGGCTTAGCCAGAGCATAAACGCTTTATAATGCTTTGCTTTGCTGGAGAATGCTAAGCTAAACTTCTGTCACGAAGTCGGTTGTATCTAAGATCTTGATGTAGCCTGTTGGGGTAATGAAAAAATAACTCTATGGTGTTATTAGATTTAGAGTTATCTCCTCTTCAAAACTGAAGTTTTTTTACTCATGCACTAACACTGATTTGTTTTAAAATTATTCTATTAACTGGCCTGTAATCATAAATGTCTTACCCATGTTGTTTTGTAATTTGTTTGTTTTCTAGTAAACACGTGTCTTACAAGTGTTTGTTGTCTTATAAATGTAAGTGTCTTACCAGTGTCATTTTTCTGTTGTCCTGCAAAGAAAAACTTAAGATTTTGATTGCAAAAAAAAGGTCTATTTTTTTTCTTCCCATTCTTTGGCAAGTAAACATGATATGAGCCATTATAGGTGTCCCTAAACTTGTGATAATGGACACCTTTCAGGCAATATGCCTTACGTATTCACTATGTTAACTAGCAAACATGTTTAGCTCTCTGTCCCTGAATGAAGAGCACCAATTAGTGGTAAGAGGAAGGCTATTTCAAAGGTGATAAGCCAAATATTGGTATTGGATTGCTTATAAGATTAGTTCTCCTGTCATGCTGCTGAGCCTCTTCTTTCCTCGATACTGAATACCTCTTGTCTTATGTTATGCAACTCTGTGTTGGTGCCACCAGTGCTGACAGTGGCAGAACACAAGGACTGCTCGTGTCTAAAAATGTCCTCCTAATACCCCCTCCTGAGTCTTAGAAGTGAAAGCAGGAAGGACAAGGCGATGCTGTGACACGGTCTAGTTGGGAACATAAAGTGAACAAAAAACTAAGGTCTTTGTGCTTTAAGTTCTGATCCCTGCAAAATAGCCTCTTACTGTTGCAGCTCAAAATGAAACCAAAAAGTAATTCTCTCAAGATGCTCGATTGCTGCTATCTGAACAAATCAACATTTTGTAAATGTATTGTATATGTTTTAATATGTGTTCAATAATGCACTACATTTTTGTCTCTTAATCTAGTTTAGAAACAGTAGAAGTTGCTTTAGATATTGCAATGCCCATTCTCCAGCATTAAGAAGGCTGTGAGGAGGAATTATGATGCTCATTTTACCTCAGTGGCTGACGTTGGCAGAGTGTTTCTTTAGCTTTTGAGGCAGAACAATAGTCTCTTTCCAATTGTTCTTCAGCTTCTTGTGACATGTTCTGCATTCAAGTGCAAGAGACTTGGATTTAACCTTAAAACTTCTTGGTGCTAATAGCAGCCTAAAGCCAGGAGCTAGTATCATAAAACACCGGTTTTATTGCACTAACATGTCATAAATGTAATTGTCTATCCCGCACACACACACACACACACACACACACTGTGGCCCTTAAACACAGCTCCAAAGCTTTTTTGCTTTAAACTGTCACCACAAACGGTCCCAGATGTGCCATTTCACATTCTGCAAAGCCAGTTCAGAGAGAAGAACCTTGAACAAAAAGTATTAAATCACAGACAGCGGTACAGTTGTAATTCTGCAAAGATGTAATGATGCTACTGTAGTTTTGGTTAAGAATTATTTTTCAGGTTTAAATCATATTAACAAGCTTAAAACAACCCATCAACCTGTCGCTTATCTCCACATCCCTTAAATTATGTTTGCCGCCACTGAAACCTCGAGTTCAGGCTGGTACTTAGGTGTTTTCAAAAAATCAAGTCCCATTGGCATTCTTGAGTAATAGTCTTTGTTTTCAGACAGTTGCTGTACCTTTTGTTGGCTAACAATCTTTTGAAAGCTGTAATGACAACATTTGTTTTTCCTGTGGCTGGCTAGCTATGCATTTAAGCTAAAGTTAGCTGAATTAATAGGTTAAAAACTGACTTTAGCTAACTTCTTTAATTGGAGGAACTTTTCAGATTTCCTTCAGAAAAAAAGGAAAGGAAAAGGGCCTCTAAAAGACCCTATTTATTGCCCACATAGGCATGGTAGTTTTAAGTCAGAAGAAAAGCAAAAGCTACATGCTAGCTTAAAGTCAGCATTATTATCCAACCCCCTCTAACGACATTAAAATTAAGAAACCGCATGTTGAGTGGTTGTAGAGCTTATTCTAGTACAAGCAGCTTTGCATACATGCTTTTACAATAAAACAAACATCTCTACATATGTATTACAGTATGCTTCACTTTAAACATTTCAAACTATAATGTTTAAGATGACAAACACATTTGTTAACAAGGATGAGGCCTAGCTAGCCTTAACACTGATCCATTTTTTAGGAACCCTTTCCGTCTTTGGGAAAACCCACTTTGAATATACTACTGTGTACACTACTATTTACATCGTATTGTTAAAGTAAGCTGTAACAAACTATAGAGCCCGCTCTAGAACTGTAGTACTGCTAGGTTTGGTTACTGTTAGAGGCAGTGAGCTAGTTAGTCACATCTGCTCACATTTGAAGCTTAATGTAGCAAAAGCAGTTATTACAACATTCCCTGGAGTTCTGCCTTTTTGTTTTTAGATTGAGAAGGTGAAAAAAATCTTCATATCACTGCTCTTAGTATAGTCCAATGTGAATTATTTCAGCAACGCCCAAAGCTTGACGGACCAGCTGTGTTTAGATACACAGCCTATTTGTAACTCTAACAAAAGGCACTAACAAAACACTATTGTTGTGATACGTTTGGCAAACGGTCCATTTTATAGGATGGTCTGAAATTGCTAATGGACAACACAGAGTTGCTTCTTGTTTTTTAAAGCAGATGTACTGACCATGACCGTGCGTTTAAAAAAAGGTATAATATGGTCCTCGAAATCAAAACATCCGTTCCTCTCCACTTATATTACTGAATTAAGCCATTTCAGATGGCTCATTTTAGTTTCCAAAAGTTATTTTCCCAGTCTGTCAAAAAAGGCATGTGCTACTCTTTTCATTAACAGTGGCATTTAATGAGAGGCACTTACAGTAGACTCTAACACAATTAGGTATTTCATGACAACCTTGGGAGGAAAATTAATCTCTCAAATGAAATTGGTCTCAGTGCTCAATATGTCACCCAGTGGGATGCGACTTCATTTCTATTCATTGACCCTCCATGAATTAAAGCTAATTTCCAGAACGTGTCGCTTCTCAGAGGCTCCCGCAGCAGGATGCAGGCTTTCAACCGTACCAGCTCGAAAAACCTTCCCCTCTTCCCATTTGATTCGAGGATTAGATCTGATTAAAGATTTGAGCTGGACAACCTCTGCAACAGCCATGCAATCTCCTTTTTTTCATAACCAAGTCTTCTTGTTAAATTTACATAAAGCTGATGGGATTTCGGCTTGAGATTTGTCTGATTCTCCCACATTTCACGAGTAGGAGGATGAATTACAGCACACTGGAAAACACACCCTTTCTAGTTGTAGAACTGGGAAATCATTCGTTGACTGATATATTGTTCCATGCAGCTTTTGCTTCAGTGAATGGGTCATCGATTGGCAATGATTGCTTTGAAAAAAAATCCATAAAATAACATTCAGCTATTGTCATTGGTTTTACGCCTATCTACAAACAACATCTGTACACATCTGGTCTCATATGTCTTGTTAATACTTGATCATATCTCTAATGTTCAACAATAAGACAAAGACATGTGTTTCTTTTTCCCTTTGGTGGAAGTGTATTGTGTAAGTATGTATGTAAACATAGTTTTGACAGCAGATCTCGAATGAAGAGAACCATGTGCCACACAAGCAAAGGAAATAATACAACCAAACTCCTTACGCACTCATATAGTCCACGTCTAGGACAGATCTGCAGCAATAGAAAACAAGTAATACATCCTTTTGTTTTGCGTAGTCATGAAAATATCTGTTTTATACAAAAATTAAATACAGTTACAGTATGTTACAACTTTTTTTTTTTTTTTAATCCCATACAGGTGAGCTCAAGCATGACTACAAAGCCTCCGGAAAAAGGAAAAAAAACCGAAAAAGATTGGTACTCATCTAGGGGCTCGTTAACATTACATGTGCAGCATTTTGCAGAAACAACAGACACCCTTCAGCAAAGTAAAAATCACCAGAGTCACCAAAGCACAGGGAGGAGCAGTGAGGGACAGAGTGAGGGAGCGGAGAGAAGAAGAAGGGAACAAGGAAGGAAGGAGGCAGTGAGGTGAGATGAACTAAAATGTCCCCGTCCACATTATTATTTTTTAATTACTTCAGATGATACTTAGAAATCATGTGTCTAGTTTTGTACAGTTTGCTCTCAGAAGGTGGGTAGCTCTACCCGAGTCTCCAGTCTGCCTTTTTAATGAAGCATCAGCCAATGACATAACCGCAAAGCCAGCACTCCAACCGTGTCCTCTGTGACATTATAAGACTGCAGCGACTTTACCAATACGTTCATGAATCCATCTAGTATTCGGTATAACAGATCCTGTTGCACTAGTTACACTTTCACCCACACCTGTGGCCTTGGATATACAAAAGAGTTGCTTATATTGTATGCCGAGCACATTGTCCACACGTCCTCTGTTCTTCAAGTTGAGAGTTCAGTCTCAACATATGTGGTCTTAGGGTTTTGGTTAAGGATGTGAGGCCACTCTGGTCTCTCAGCAAAGGGGTACAATCAATAGCAGGAGCACTACGAGGGTATAAGCGATGGGGTGGTTATGGAAGGCGGCCCGTCCAGACAATTGGTCCTCGCACTCCCCTGGGCCCTGGCAGCGAGCTCTCTCGCACAGGACGCCCGTGAAGCCAGGGGGACAGTGGCAGCGCTGATGGTGGTGGCACGTGCCGCCGTTCTGACAGCGCAGCATGGCGTTGTCACACACGCGAGCTGCGGAGACAAAGCGAAAAAGGGCAGGGGAGACAGGAAGGGGTGATTAATAGATCACTCAGCGATAGAGCAGCAGAGAACATCAACAGGCAGGTTCACAGGGCACAAGCTGCCTCTTCGTGTCCTGTCTGCAACGCTCTGTGTCCTGAGCACAGCTGACACATTAGGGAAGGGTGAAACCAAGGACTTTTGAGTAAAGTGAGCAGACAGAGAGGAGACACATACAAAAAAAAAAACAGGACATCATAGTGCATGAATACTAGAAAAGCCTTTACATGTAGGACTCTGTTATGGAAACACAGACATTATACTGATATTTTTAGGTGCACAAATGGGAATGTAGGGAAAATAATCCTGGCAAAACAAAAGAGCAAACAAACCATGGCAGCGATGAGGTGAAATCAGTGATTAGTGAATCAAAGGATGCCAGAGTATTGTGAAACAGCCCCCCATGTGTTGGACTGGAGGAATAAATTTGGCATCCCTCTGGCACAGTGACACTCGAAGAACAGAGGAGACAGACACGGGATGGATGCCTGGCTCCAGCTACACTCCCCTCTACCTTTCATATGCAAATACAGGACTGCCAGGTAATTTGCCAATTGCTGTTATTTTCTTCTGCAGTTAACCTTACAACAAACCTTACAACCCTGTTAGAGGAAAAGGACATAATATCCACAAAGAGATTGTTGTCGTGGCCTCCAAACATGTCTTTGTTTTGATATAGAATGATAAGAACGACATAAGCCGATATCCACATTTCCAGACAAAAACTCACGACTCAATTATCCCAGGAAGCCCCGCTGCTGGCAGAGGTGAAATCCTAGTAGAGGTAATATTTGCCAAGAGATTTCAGTGTAATTGGATATCTCTCCCTGCATAAATAGTAATCATATTTTTTGGGGTTTTCAGTAATATGTCTTATGCATGAGAATAAACTTGACAAATAATCATTTCTCCTTGCAAAACTAATTAAAAAGGCATTGGTATTGCATTTTACTTGAAAACACTCCCTTCTACTTCAACCAAACACAACTGAAGTTATGTGCTTTAGAGGAGATTCTTTAATTTTTGTGAAGAAGTCCTGTAAAAACCTCTTCTAATGACTGCAATTTCCTTGCCTCATTTGACTTTATACTTTTTTTTAAAAACTCGTAGAGACTTGATGCGACAACTTTGCTGCATTGAACATTTTTACATGTTGTTTAAGAAAGCTCGATAAAGATCTCAGTATTGGAGTAAATATAGCTTTTCTACCCATCACTCAAACTCATCACTTGAAGTGCAGCAGGTCTTGGGGAGGCATTAAGTGATAGATTTCTCTGTGTATGACTTTTGAACACCGGATGCAAAATAATGAGTCTGGAGACAAGCCACTGCTCTTTGATTCAGGGACTGATATCAGAATCTGACATGTTCATAGAGCGTTGTTTGAGACAGATTTAAAATAAAATGGGCCACACAACTTATTAGAATCAATGCTGGAAATATGACTTTGTTAGAATTTTGTAAACACTCACAACAGATCCTGATCCGCAAATCATATTGTGAATAAGCTGTTTGTTTACATTCATTTCCCCTAAAGGGCAAATCAATGTGAAGCAAGGGGAAGACTTATGGCGCAGATGCATTTGAGCATGCTGAACACATTTTTGATAATATTTGTAATTGGAGGCGGTAAGTAGTGCAGCTGTTAAGGAGGTGTATTAGAGGCTGGCATAGCCGATTGCTCCTTTCATTCCTTTAAAAACTCTGTTCTCCTTTCCCTGACCCGTAGACAGATCCTGTTCAGCAGCTTCTACAAAATAAATGATAATGAAAATGCCTGAAGTGCAAAGCAAGGGGAAGCAAGACATTTTTTGGTAGTTGTATTCAATATTTTAACAATAAAAATGTACTAACGTTCTACTTGATAAGTAATGAAAAGTCTCCCTCAGCTCTTCAGAAATTTGAAACTCAAGTGAAAAACTTTTTTGGTTTGTGTAGATGTTTGGCTCCCCCTGTGGACAAAGTGGTACCTATTATGTCTTTGCTGATCTTTTTCTATACATATTGAAGTTGTGTTTTTAGACAAACTAAATAAAAGCCCTCACTGTGCAATCTTTTAACAGTCAAATGTAACACTCATTATGACTCTTTATAATTGAAAATGAAAAAAAAAATAGAGTCTGTGTTTGCAGTGTGCTGTTCATCCTTTGTTAAACCCGGTGTCAAGCACTGAACATTTCTGTAGAATGATCAATTATGTCAATTTTGCTTGTGTAGGCTATAAAGAGGTATCAGTATTAATTTCAGTGTATTTCACAACCAGTTAAAAAAATCCTCAGAGGAGCGTCTTTTAGCTCATTGTATGTTTTTAAGCCTTAGTTTTGGTTCTGTTTCACGCACTAATACTGTAGTTTTTGGCAACTGCAGGCAGCTGTTTAGCTAAAACATATTAGCATTGGCGAGCTCATTGATTAACAAAGAGCTACTTCCTATTAAACAGCATTGGAGTATTTAACAGCTTAAGAGCCAGTTATGTCCCTGAGCTGAGAGCTATCAGGGGAGTGAATACTGGACCGTAATTTTTTTTCATACGATTTTTATACTTTATTTGTAATGTTGTCATCAATATAACCCTTACTCAAACCTGTCCAAAAACTCAGCATGCAACACAAGCTTAGGCCGAGTCCAAATGTGTCCTGACAGTCCAGGCCGAGCTCTGACAGGACAAAGACCTCAAGACACTCCCGACATGCCAAACAATATGAACCTCTTTCTCGACAAAAAGATGTCTGAACTTGAACTTTGCGTGCCAGAAAAGGACTCCTGATTCCCAGACTGCTTCTTCCGTGTCCTCAGTGGATTGAGACATTAATGGCCTCCTGGCTACGCCCCAAACCGGTCTGTCAAAGGAGCTTTCCCATTTTACTGCTAATGGAATACACCTGCTATATGTGCATTTCTAAAAATGTCCATGGGATCAGCTGGGTCTCCATTGTATAGTCTAGACATTAACTTTGTGGCTTGTGGTCGAAGGATAATCTGCATGTCCTCCAGCAGACCCAAAGGAACGCTGTCTTTCTAAAAGCATCTGTAGCCCAATTAGTTTGCTTATCCAGAGGATTAAGCATGCGGTGTCTTTATGCAGCCACAGGGTCCGACTGTCTGACAAAATACACTGTAAAATAAGTCAATTATCCCGTGTCACTTAGAAATCTCACAAAGTGACTTGGTATCTGTGAAATAATAAAAGTTTGTAACTTAGATTCAGTTCCTATCAGTTATAGATAATGAAGGATTTTCAGTGACACTGTACAGGATGGTGTGCAACAAGATGCTTTCACACATGTATAGTAATCATCAATACAACTCATTTAAAGGTGTAGTATTTAAATCACATTTTTAAAGAAATCTGAAAGTGTTAATTATGTCAAACAAAGTGGGTATGGCAACAGTCTAAAGGATCATTTCAGTGATTAAGTATTGCACTTTTATAAAATTGGTAGACATGGATTTAAAAAGTTTAAGCAGCAAAACCTGACATATTCTCACATCCATTCAAAAGTACTGCCCATGCACAAGATCCTATATTTCCCATCATGCAACTTAGGGAGGGTCATATTCCTTAATATATTTCCTGCTGTGTTAACTTATCAGACAACCTCAACTTCATGCAGATATTTTACAAGGGGAGTTCCAGGAAAGGAAGGGTGAAAAACTTGGCCGTTTGTGTTCACACAAGCAGCTCACCCCCAAAAAATTTGGGAAATTTTCAGGAATTTTGTGCATTTTCAGAATATTTTTCAGAAAACATTACTTAGCTGATACACATGCCGTAGTAGTCGCTTTGATGAGGACATTTTGCAAGTTTCCCTTTTATAAGAGATGGTAAAATACACTATAAGGTCTTTAAATGAATTTCAGCGAAGAGCTTGTTGTCATATTATAGACGACAGTTTTGCCTGGTATGACATCACTCTCTCTCTCTCTCTCTCTTTCTCAGACTTTGCTGGCAGCTGGTGAGAACACAGCAATTCGAACTCTGGGCTGCCGAGCACTAGCATACTCTCTCTGGGACATATGTGCACCTCACACCTCTGTCAGATGTGTGACATTTTAGCTGTATAACTGTTGTGACACATCCATCATTGGGTCTCGGTGTTGCACGAAGCAACATGGAGAAAATCCAGCACAGCAACATTGCAACAGTGATGGATAGGAAAGACAAAGAGCTGAATTTAATTTCATGCTGCTGCTTTGTGTGAATGGGAAAATAATGCACATGCATGTTATTTAACTGTTGACTGTAATCTTCTGTTAAACGACCACATTTTACTTTATAACATAGTGTAAAAGTTTTGTAAAGAAGAATGATATCCTTTATGAATTAGATAACTCTTTCTGTGTATTTTCACAGAATTTGTTAATGTTGTTGTTAATTTGTTAAAAAACAAAAAGACAAAGATAAAGACCTGCTTGTATTTTTCGACCAAACCTCTGGCAGTTTATTACATTTGTGTTTCTGCAACGCAAATCTATAAGTTCTTTGTGTTTCATTTCTTAATGGTCTACAGTCCTTTTTAAAATACCAATACGATTTTTAGGCTTTTCTTTTTCAGATTTTGGAAGAATTTACATTTTTTTAAAGCTTTAAGACTGAGCTATCGGATATATAGGATAGTGGATCAAGTAGGAAATCAGGAGAGAGAGAGTATAGGCAATAACGTGCAGGAATGATGCCACAGGTTGGATTCAAACCTGGTCGCCTGCTTGGAGGAGTATTCCTTCTTCCATGGGGCGCGACCTAACCACTAGGCCATCTGTAGCAGAATGACTGCACTCTAAGACGTCATATATGTTAAAGCAAGCAGTGTGATGGAATTAATATGGGGAACTCTCCCTAAATGACTGTAACAGATAATAGTTATGTTTGAGAAAACAAAATGCTTTTATTTTTCAAAAGTCATTTAATGGCCCCCCCGCTGTCAGAGAATAACCATGTTTTCAATCTTTTACAGAGTAACAAACAAATCGACTACGATACTAAAATGTTGGACAAACAAATCCCTATATTGGTACTGTTTTTTTAGAAGATCTGTTGGTGTGTTTATGTCCTAAACATACTCAGGCAGTTCTCTAATCTCTCATCTCAGAGAGAACTCAGCTCTTGACGTCCTCAGACTCTCTTTGACAGAAGTCTGTGAGATACAGAAATCACTGCATGATGCAAGTTAAACAGTCAGAAATGAATGAAGATCCTGTCACAACTTTTTTTGTGGTTGAGGATTTGGAAAAAACAACAGCATTCATTCTTATCTGCTGATCTCTACACGAATCAAATTCGTCATGTGGAGCGTCAAAGAGAAAGACCCTGGAGAATAGTTGGCAACTCAGTTTAATTACACACAGAGAAGAAAATCTTATTTAAAAATCATATTTATAGTCATTTATTGAAGCGTTTTTAAAGACGCTTTTACAACTATAGATCGGCCAGTGCAATTAAGTATAACTGGAGACAGTTTCCAGATACAGGATCTGCTAATTATATGCACCGAGACAGAATAGTGTTTCTTCAATTACACTGGATCAATATCTTTTCCATGATGTCAGGGAAAGCTGAAACCTGTTATCATATTAACATGGAGGCTTCATCATTAGTCATGACTCCAGACTCACAAGTTCAACATAAACTGCCTGCTGAATACTTAGCACGTTGTCGTGGCAGGGCTACAATTCTGCCTGGAATAACAGGAGGGGCCTACTGTTGCTCAAGAACGTGTCTAACAAAGGGTAAGTAAACGGTCGTCAGATTTGAAAATTAGAAAGTTAGATTTCGTGTATCTGTCAGTGGTTTTGGAAAATGTCCTCTGTTGTTGATATTTATTGGTTTAGGTTTAGGGTTTCTGATATTTAGTTAAAAAGTTTAACTTGAATGTAGGCTAATTTAAAAGCTATAGCCAAGAAGCATGTTAGCTAACCATATCACAGGGCAACAACTCACTGGCCTTTGTCCAATATTAAATCATCCATACTAGCAGCAATGAAGCTTAAAGAATATGTTGGATCATTTATTAAAAATTCAATACTTTCTATTTCATTCTTAATTTTTAGTTTGTAGTGTCCACATTTTTTTGCCCTATTGCCTCCCTTTGTTGGGAATATGAAGTAGAGAATGAGGGTGTGATTTTGGACATCTGTTATAAAATATGGTCATTAGCAACCTGAGTTTTTATTTCTTTGCTGATTTTGTTCTCTACTTGTGTAAATAGAATTGAACAACAAAGCATCTCATACTGCTTTCAGGTATGTTCCTCCTATTGAGGTGTCAGAATTCACATCAGTCGGTTTCATAACCAACAAAAAAAGAAATATTGCCTATTTTTAAGATCATTTATAAGGACTTCACCCTTTATTGTCAGTCTCCATTTGTTGCTTTACATATCTCATGTTTTAGTACCACACTCTTCTATCATTGTTGCTAAGAAGAAGTCACACAGGTGTCTTTGTATTGCCTTTATAGGCCTCGCTATAAGAGCTGCAAATCAAATCTTTGTCAGTCTGAAAACGAGGTTGGGTCTTACTCTCTCAGTGAATCCCTACCGGTACTTAAGTTGATTACTGTTTTCGAATGTCAGAAGTTAAGCAAGTGTTTCAACAATCAACACATACACATAGTATATTTACAGGAACGAATATCAGAAAATGTTCTGTCTGCAGTGTCAAATAAAAAGGAGTACACACATTTTTTTTCAGTTATATATCAGTGAATATTGGTGAGTCAAAATCTTGTTTTACTGACTGGCTGTTCTCTTTAGTATTGAGCACTGTTGTCATTTCATCAAGTTTCGTCCTGTCTTGTCGTTAGTATGTAAAAGGAGTCCGACTCAATTACTGCAAACCAAATCTACCTACTGTTACAAATAAAGTGACCTTACCTTAGGAGGTTGACGTTACTCAAATGCTAAATAACTTTCTTGTGTTTATTTTAGAAAACATCTAGTTGCCCTGTTTAGAGAACTGCTAATAAAGTAGCAGGTAACGCAACACATCCAATAATCAAATGTTCATAGGTTAGATCAGCTTAGGCAGGTTTGATTGACTAATACTCGCACACTTGATTTGGAAACAAGCACAATTTGTAACCCATTCCAGAGCAGTAACTGGTTTCCTTTCACCTCTGACAGCAGCCAACACTGGAGCATCTGGTTCTCAGCTTTGCAAGTCATGAAAATAGAAGGAAAACAATCCCTTCCCTTAATCGTAGAAATCCCAAAAGTCCTTTTTAATTTTTTTCTCCCTCCAGTCTGTGAAAGCAGTGGTGCAGATGCAACTTAACACTCACTACACAGGATATCTGGGCCTGAGGATTAGCTGCAGATAGCTGGAGATCAATCTACATAAACCCCCCTGGAGCCTCTTCTCTCCTTCCCTCTCCTTCTCCTCTTTCCTCCCCCCTTCCCCCTTCTGATCACGGCAGAAAGGGTGCCCCTTCAGAGAGCATTCTGGGTATTTAAAAAGCAGGATACGATCAAAGGGGTTAGGAAGCTGTGGACTCTGTGATCCTGAAGCGCGAGGTCCATTCCCTTCAGTTTCCCCACAACAAAAGGTCCGTCTTGTAAGGACCTGTGTTTGTTTGTGTGCATGCAGGGATAAAAGCATCTGGGCTTTGGGAAAACAACCTTTTGCAAACTTCCATTAGCAAATTCTACATTACACCTTCAAAGCACTTTTTTTTTTTTTTTTTTTTTTTACGCTTCCAATCAATAAGCAATCAATTCTTTCTATGTATCGTTAAAGTCATGCTGAAGTTACAAAGCCTATAAGCCTACCTTGGTTACGATTTGCAACACCAAGAGATGAAGCATTTGCTCGATCTGTGTGGAAATGGGAAAGGTTATAAATTACACTCGAGTCGTCAGATAATTCATGCTGTTATGTACTTAAAGAACAGGGCCAGCATGCATCAATTCTTGCTTTTTAATTTTTTTTTTTTTTAACAATAATCTGTTTTATGTCTGGGCCTCAGAACTGTAGGAAAACGTCTGCCACATGTTTGGAATAGTAGGTCGACTAATGTAAATGGTGTGCATGCAACTTAAATGGGTGAATCTTTCCACAAGACAAAGGCAGAGACATGGACATATGGTAGCTACTGTTGTTATCCAGCATGAGGAGTCACCTTCAGGCATCAACATGCGTAGGGGTGCATGGTGGGAACCAGGTATTCATAATAATAAAAATGGAAGCTTTACTTGTGTTTGGCCTTGGGCAGATATCCGTCTGTGAGCTTAGGGCTAATATTCTAGTGTGGAAGAGAGAGTTCCTGCTGATTCACTGACTCAAACATGCAGGAGCTCTACCATATTTCATGAACTACACTCAGTCTTAAACTGTGCCTGTGTTGCACCTCAACTACAAATGACATACTTCATATTCATGTGTACTATTTTGCAAACCCCTTGTGAAAAAAATTAAGAATTTCTGCCTTAAGGCAATGAATGAGTTGAGGATAAGGTAGCTTTCAGACTCCCTTTGTCTATTGGTTTATTTCAATTTATTCAGGAACAATATGAACAATCAAGAGGCGACTTTGAACCTGCACAGTGTGTAACACATCCAAAAACTTACAAGGCTCAAAGGATATTAAGTTGTCTGCTAATTTTATTCTATTCCAAATGTGGAAATATATAAAACTTCGGGCTGTCAGCGTTAACGTGTTAAACGTGATGCAATTAATGTCCACAACTAATACACCAATCTTTTTAAATCCCATTAATCATGTTCCTTTTTTGTCCCTTTCAGGGCACCGTAATTAAGCCATCGAGCGACTTCCTGCCTGCGCAGTGAAAGGAAACCATGACACCGCCGTGCCACTCACTCATTCACTTAAAAAAAAAAAACAACAACCAGGCGGCTCAGTTGGCAATTCAAAACTTATATGAACCTTATGAGATCAAACATTTCACTTTTTTACGGTTCCCTTTAATTTATTTAATTTACTCCGGTAACTTTTGTATCGTTAAGCAGTTCCTCTGTCAACTCTTAATTTAATGTCTTAACTTTCAATCTACCGGATGTTCCTTATAGTCCTCAGCTTATTTACATAATACAAAATAAAAGCACAATAAAAACAGTTTTAAATGGGAAAATAATGGAATTTCAAATCTTTTTTTCAAATGTGATTAATTGCGATTCAAATGTTTGAATTGTTTGACAGCCGTATAGTAAAAATTAGACAATGACTACCATTACTTACCAAAGCATTCAGCCTCATCTAACACTCCCCCCAGCTGATCACCCACTTCCTTTCTCCTTCATTTGTTTGTCTCTTGTTGTCTCCCATTACACCCCCCCCCCCCTTGGGTTTCATGAAAGGCGCTATATAAAGTTATTATTATTATTATTATTACATTTTTTTATCAGTCAGGTAAGAAAACAATATTTTTAATTTATTCAAAAGGAAGTGTGGTTTGCACAACAGTCGCAGGAATGTGAAGTATATTATTTCTTTCATAATCGGAAGATAAACCAAGAATGAACATTTAAATAACTATAAATGGGCTAATCTGTGGGATAATTTCCACTTTTAAAGATGTATTAAAGTCAGGTATAATGAAGTTATTCTTCATTGATGAATGAATGTTAAGATGGATTTTTTTCTTTGTGAAAAAAACAAACTGTTGAATTGTAATGGTAATGCACGGCACAATGTGTCACTCCAACATAAGAGTTAGTCATCACTGAGGGGGGAAACTATTAGTCAGCATGCCAACTTAGAATAAAGAAGCATGTTCACTTACGCACTGGTCCGTGATTACTGGGAATACCTGCAAAAGAGCAAAGAGAAAATGTTTTAGTGGCGCATTACTCATGTCTGAAATGACTCCCATTAAAAAGCAAGCAAACACTATATACTTAAGTTGTTTCCTTCAAGCAATTTATGATGACCACCACTTGGTCTCCTCTGTGTGCACTGATTAACAGCAGCTGTGGCTCTTCAGTGAACCTGAACAACACCCGCCTTCTTCTGATGATAATAACAGGTCTGCCAGCCATGAAATGTCAACAGAATCCAAAGTTGTCATTCATAAAAGACCTTCCTTCAGCACACAAAATTTAGTTTGAACAACTAGATCGTGTCTTTGTCTCAAAAGTTGAATTTTCTGTGAATAATCTTTCAGCCAAAAGGTCTCTGAATTAAAGCTCCTGTGAGGAACTTTTGCTTTGATTTTGGTGCCCCAAGTGGACAAAGTGGTACCTCTCATCTCTTTGCTGATCTTTTCCGATACACATGGAAATTATTTTGCTTTGTATTGCTCTTATAGAGGCATTGGTATTCATTTCAGTCCATTACACAACCAGATTGAACTCCTCACAGGAGATTTAAACCAGTTTAATTGAATCTGTAAAAAGACAGTGTTATCAACGTGTCAGTTTAGAGGAATCAGAATCAGAATCAAATACATTTACACATACAAGGAATTTGACTTGGTGTATTGGTGCTAAACAATTAACAAGGAAATAAAGCAGAACTAACAACAACTTAAATAATACAGTATAAGAAGCTATTACAATATATAAAATAGAATTTAAAAATCTGAACTCTAAAAAATAAAAAACACAAAATGTACAAAAGGTGCAATGTAGGAGCTGTGCAGTGGACAATGAGAAAACATCTTATAGTGTATGCAACCTACTCACACAGTGCATGTAAAGAAATAAATTTAAAGTCCAGTGGGCGTTAATGTAACACATAAAGAACAGTTTCAGAGTTTCCAATAGATTCCTAAAAAATTAAATTGAAAAAACATATTGATAAAATTACTTATTTATCTAAATAGGAAAATATGACTACCCACCGTCTGTGAAATATAAAAAAAATATTAAATACATTAAAAAACAGACACTACCAAGCACTCGCATAAAAGCCCGGCCTACAACTCAAACCTCGATGCCGTTTTTGTCTCCCACATATTTGTTATCAGTGTTTGTCTGTGTGTTCATCATCTTTGTGTTTATTAGTATAATCAGCGGGCATGTCCCATCCTATAATTAGTGGAAAACGTTTTCCAAGCTTTGTCCTTCTCAAATTATTTTTCAGCTGGGCTTCATATTGTTAGCACCCCATTCATCACTTCATTACCAGTTTGGGGCTGTCACAACAACTGTTGGCATTCACCACAGCACCGCAGCAGCCCAGGAAAAACATAGATTTTAAGCTCCAATTTGCAAGAAAGCAAGCAAACTGCAGCAAACAGTTGTTCTTTGTGCGAATTGGAGGGAAAACATCATTGGCCTTTGAAGCCAAAACACATTCTACAGTCTGATCAAAGTCTGAGCCGCAGTCCTTCTTAACCTGTGAACCTGCTTTGGAACACCAGATGAGTTGACGCTCTCCTCCAAAGTGGACTGTCAACATAATTCTCCAAGTGATTCCTCTTCTGCTCTGCGGGCAACTCACAGCTTTTTCTCCTGCTTCTTTTAGAGAAACCTCGGATTTGAATCACGATCAGTCACTCCCTGCCGCTGACAGCCATGCCCCATAGCAACAGAGGGCTCCATTTTTGGCTCTAATTTATTAGATGAAGGGTCACGTATGTCCATATATCTGAATACGCTGGGATTTAAATTTGTAATAGACCTCGCCCTGTTCATACCTGTGAGATAAAGGACTTCAATGATTAAAGAGGAAGTCTTGATGACAGATGAAAGCTATTAAAGCATAATTACATCTTGCACGTTCAGCATATTTGTCTTTATATGATATGCCTGTATGTTTAATATCTTTACACAAAATATGAGCTCCACATAATGAATACAGGCACGGGCTTTACTTATGAGAGAAAGAGGAATAATTTAAGAGAAAAGCACGTTCATTGAACACCTGGGGGACCAATATCGTTACGTCACTTCCATGTGCAACATTATTGCATTTTATTCCGCTGCCAAACAAGTGTGCTAATATTGCTTTTGATATGGCTAGACCCCTGGTTTCATCAGTCGGGTGCAGATGCGGCCAAGTGTTGGATTTTTTAATAACAGCCTGTCAATCTGGCGGTGAGCAGCACATTGCAGGGAGTCTCATAACACGGAAGAGGTGCAGAGGTAAATCGAGCAATATCTCCTCAGAGTTCACAAACTCTTCACAAAAACAAACTCCCAAACGCAATCAAATGTGCTGCATGTGCACACACATGCCGTTTGAAGCACACGCGTGAAAACAAACGTGCAGTTTCACAAGATACATGCTAATACAAATGTGTGTAATCCCTTGAATTGTCATCAAAAAAATCACCCAAAGAACACATAGATATAAGCAAAGCAAATGTTTATATGTGCTCAGTGGATCAATAGCAATATCGTATCTTTGTACAGATCTAATCACAGCGTCTATGTCTGAGAATCTGAGTCAGACAATCAACCTTAGCATCTGAAAAACCTGCTGTCAATCCCTCCAGACTGCTGCCATGTTGGGTTTCTGACTGTAAGGCTGAATCAGTGTGAGCGGAGGACCAGAGGGCTAGATCTTCCACCATCTGGCCCTCGCCTGGCCGTCCACCACCACATCCCTGAGTGGCTGTATTAGATTTATTGAGGCAATGAGCCCCCCGCCTCAGGCACGGGATTTGATAAATGTGACTCAACTCCCGTCCAAGATTATAATGGGGATAATTCAAAAGAGCACCTTCTGCCTCAGAGATACCATGTGAACAGGCAGGGAAAGATCCAGCATTAGTTCACCCTTATTATGGCGTAGAGGAAGGGAATACTTAATTCAATGTTAAAGTATTGGAGGAGTGTTGTTTATGTTCACTTGATGTTGAATAAATTAAACATACCAAGATTTATCAATCCCCCAAGGGAAAAAAAAGGCAAGACATAAATACATGCAGCAAGTGCTCATTTTCAAATATGTCATTGTGGACCCTAATGCCTTAGAAAAGGGCCCATAGGATTGTTCTAAAAATGTCAGCTTTCAGTACATTCAGAAACGCTATTCTTATTATTTTATGTTAAAGCGACCAAAACAACCGTTTTTTATTTATTTTTATTTTTTGCCAGCCCTCAATTAATAATTGGGTGGGCAGGGTTGTTGATGTTTATATCCTGCAACCGGTGAGCAACCAATGTGATGCAACTGTTTTCGTGCGTATAGTAAAGTAGATTTATTCTCTTTCTTGCTCGCCAGTAGATCCTTTACTACTCTTTTTTTGGTACTTTGAATATTTACCATATCAGGGGCATGTCCAGACTTTTTGGACTGGGGTGGCCCAACTGTGGCACTGACTTATACAGGGGTGGCCTTAAGTGTGATGTGAGCACAAACTCACTCAAATAAAGATCCATTATTCACAAATCATAACAACTTTTAAAACAAGAGATAATGGCAACATTAGCTTAATTTTTATGACACAAAAAAAAATATGTTTAAAAGTCACCATTTAAAGTACTTAAAAAAAGTGCATGTGAAATTCTGCACAGTCCAACCTGCAACATATTGGTCCTGACACATTCCCAGTTAGTTCATTGCAAGTAAGACAGTGTGACTTACTTTCATATGCACATTCTTATTTGATAGATATTCAAAGTTTTTCTTTTAATTTCAAGTACAAACCAAAAATTGCTACACTGATATGTTAAGAAAACTACTAGCAGCCTTCTGCAAAAGAAGGCCTAAAGACCTAATAGTTGATTTTAACACAAGTCTCCCATCTGACAGGGCAAATAGCCAATGAAAGTTTGGGATTTTTGGTGCAGCACCTTGGGTGACCAATCACATTTCTAAAGTGGCCCATGCCACTCCTGGCCTACCCCTGGACATGCCCCTGTACAATATGTAGCATAGATATAAATGTAAAAAATGTCATCAAGGGGCCACATCAATCCATCCATTTCCACTTCCTCGTTTTTATGGCTTGTCTTGCCTCCTGAGACCTCCACCCCTCCAGTCCGTCAGGAATAGTCTCCCGCTGTGAGGTGCATATGTGAACAGGCAAATCAGAAGGATTTCAGGGGCAGCCTGTACTGAAATCTTCTAGAAATTCTAGTGCATGCGTGAAATAAGCTTTTGACAAAACTGTCTTTACTTAAGGTCCATTTACAATTGCTTGGGATGCTTTTAAGTTACATCTTAATGCCCTTTCGTACCAAAGAGGTTATGTTGAAACCGTCACTTCTTGCAATATGCTTGCCTACAACGTTTTACACCAAGGCGGTTAGATGAGATGTCTAGTCTGCTTCCAGTCTAGGTTGTTGACATCAGAAAATAACCTGAAATGTTAAGCTCATCGCCTTCTTCTGTCAGTCCCCTTTCCTTTCTGACCACTGCTGCTCTTTAGTTGCTTTAGAGCTTGCAAAAGAGACCTACCTACCATTAACTCATACAAAGAAAGCTTTACCTAATAAATGTAGTATTAAGTTATTCTCACCCTTCTTTGTCCCTAATAATGCAAACTGTGCTTCAGGAAGATGACTCGTTTAGTCAGGTAATTATTAAATCAGCCACTGGCAACCATCACAAAGTGATCCTGGGCTACACGATCAGCAAGAACAAGTTGAACTTCAACTGAAACTTTTCCCTGCAGTGTTCTGAACCTCGCCTTGAATTTTGGTCTCAAGTGTCCTTTACTGTCTTGTGAACAGACGGAGTTTGCTCAGTTGTCATGGAGATGGCTTAGTGGCCATCACTTTGAACTTCACGTGGACCTTGGTCAAGTTGTAACAGGTGTTCCTAAATAAAAGTGTGAAATTGTTGACCCTGTGTCTTTTCAAGAATGGGCCTGGCCTTGGATGTGAGGAGATCAAACTGATCAGCGAGGAGCCAGTAGACGCCCAGACAAACATCAAGGAGGCCTCTCACATCCAGCATCAAAGACAGGTGTTACAAAATGTTTCAACCTCCTCCCTGGCTGTGTGTTCAGACAGAATGTGAAGCGAATTTTAGAGAGAGCATGATTGCATGAAAAAAAAAAAAACACAAATTCGCCCAGATTTTTTTCAGTGTGAGCTGCACGTTTTTACTGCGGTGACTACTAATTGCAATCAAATGCTAATAATTAAATAAACTACAATAAGTATATAAGTTTTTAAATTTGTCACCCTCACTTTTGAATTTTTTTGAAACTGTCATTTTTTTTTGAAACTGTCATCATAACTTCAAACACTGTGGCTGTGCCCAAAACCACATACTACCGTACTGCCTACTACTCAAACAGTACTGCATACTACTAACCCGACTGTTGGCATGCCTTCATTGGATCCTCTTCTGGATGTGTTACAAACATGACACTGCGACTTCCATCATTATTAGATCATGTCCTGCCCCTCAGAGACCCTCCCCTCCAATCCCACCGGGGAAAAATCCTACTTTGAAAGACATGTGTGAATGAGCAACTTTTGAAAATGTCAGGGGCAGTATGTGCTGAAATCATTTAGATATTTATGGGAGTTCATATGTGAAAGGGGCTAATGTCATTGACATACAGAGATGAGAGGAGAATAAGGGGAGAAACTCGAGGGTGAAATAACAGAAAGTGTTGTGTAAACACAATCACTGACAGACTCTGACAGAAATGATTGGGGCACATTTTGCCAGCTAGCTTGAAACAATATCTTGTCCTCTATCAGAACACACACCAGGAGGTTTTGAGGGGAGATAGATGTATGTCTACTTCCACATTTCATTCATTTCATTTCAGTTCAAAGAAAATCTTAGGTATGCATACGGTTTGAACAAACTACTACATTTGTAGTTATGCTCATAGCTTTATAAATTACAGTGCTATTTGTTAGTCATTCATTGTACGGAAAGATATTTAAGCTATAAACTAACTCATAAACTGACAGCCAAATGACTCTATATTGTTTTTTGCATGTTAGCTCTCTCTCACTGGCAGATTTAACAAATCCAAAAAACTTGCTTAAGATGTTTTGGAGAACAGAAGCCTAGAGGCGAACAGCTAATGTGATTAAGAGGTATGACAAATTTCACTTTCAAGGGCAAAGATTTAAACTAAAAAACAAATAAAGGGTATAATGTTTCATTTTTACAACCACCCTCAGATTTCAGTGTCTGCTATAGCCAGACCAGAGATTGTGTTTTGCTACAACCAGTGCCAGCAGTATCTCCAGTTAATTAGCTGCAAGTCCAGCCTAAATTACCGAACGTCACAATACTTACATATATTTGCTGTTCCTTTGGGTATTGGAAGGTAAGAGCCCACACTCCAGGCTCTGCCGTGGTAGTGCCTCTTGCAGCGGCTGCAGTCTGGCCCTGTGGTGTTGTGTTCACACTCACAGCCCAGCTTCCCCTTGTCAAACACACAGCTGTTGGCATGCAGGTTGCACTTGCACCTGAGTCAGAAAGATAACAAAAAAAGACAGACACATAAATAGGCATCATTCTGCATCCAATGGAATCAATGCCCTTTGGAGGGGGGGATTCACAAAGTGTGCCCTTGCTGTGTGTGTTTGCGCTTTTCATATTTTTTGACAGGGGTAAATTGAAATCCTGTTGGGTTATCTGCCTTGGATCGTGCCTTCACAAAGCTTCATTATGCCCTCCTTTAAAACAAAAACAAGGCCTCATTTGTTACTGCCCCTGCGGAGAGAACAGCGATGCAAATAAGGTCACTTTTGCCTCTATGAGAGCTAAATGAAAGACACTCTGTGAGATTAACTAATTGAGCACAAAACACAGATCTGACTGGAAGATGATAGCGTGATAAAGAAGCAGCATAGCAGGAGATCTTCCCTTTTTTCTCTCTCTTCAAAGTTACCATGCTATTTGGCACGGGAGCCTTCAGGCAGGGAAGCCTGCAGGTTTATGGAGCTGGTTTATTAGACAGAACTGTGGCAGAGCTGACAGATGCTCCTGACAGGAGAAGTGAGGAGGCCTGACGGCTTTCAACGCTCAACCAAATCCACCCCCCCCCCCCCCCCCCCCCGATTTGACCACATGGAGCAGGCATGCGTGCATCTCCAAGTGTGGGGGGGAAAAAAACAAGCTGGGTGCTGTTGGAGTCTTAACTGTGTGTGTGTAAAGATTTATTTTTGGGCTTTTTATGCCTTCATTTCACAGATAGAACAGTGGATAGTCAGAAACTGGGGAGAGAGAATTTGGGCCTATGTACAAGGGGTGCACACTTACTTCTACTGTGTGCGTTTTTTACACCCTAAGTGAGCAAAGTTACTCTCTTCTTATTTCATTTTTTAAAGCTGAACATTCTCCAAGAATGAAGAATGAAATATGAAATGAAGAGTTCTATCAGAGGCAGAATTCAATGCATTTGTTTTCATAGTGGAAAAATCCCTTTGGGGTGAGACATGACCCTTCCGCTTTTTGCCAGGGATCCTGCTCACCCTGTTGAGATCTCATTTCCCAACAACAACACTTTCATTGTATATTATCCCTTACATAAATAATGCGTATTCCAAATATAATCCTCCATATTTGATTTTATTCCTCAGGGGGCTAAAGGTTACAACTAGTGACCTCAGCTTCTTGGTGAGTTTTGGAGGCTGATATAGAAACAGACATTGGGGGAGATGGGGTGGGGGTGGGGGGCTTGCAGCCAGAGTTGATCTGACACACGACCCGTCCACAGGGGTTTTGGGCGGATCATGGTTTCATCTCATGACTGTGTTTGTTTTTACAGAGTCCTTCTGAGGCAGATTTCGCCCATTTGAGACCGAGCGTCCGGGTATCTGTTCCCCCTGTTTAGCAGTGAACATGAGACAGAGAAATGACAGCAGCAGTCAGAAATACATCCATTCTAATTGACTTCCTGGCCTTACGGTGACATCTCACATTAATGATAGATAACTGCGGGAAACAAGGGAAACTGAAGCCCGCTCTATGTAGCTGATAAAGCAGCAGTGAGATGTCAGTGCGAGGTCTAAGTTAATGGAGATTTCTGGTAACATGCACCCATGGGCACCCAGATATTAATATGTGTGTGTATTTATGTTTACAGGCTCTAACTATAACTCCTTCTATAATTACTTTATCTAACATTTATTATACTCATGTATACCAACTCATATAAACACATACAGTATGTCTATGTTTATGTTTGTCCTCTTATATCGCTAACAGGACTGTTTTGTAAAATATTATGGCAGTGTGACAGCATGGTAATCATTCCTATATGTTTTTATTGTATTGTTCCTATCAAACATTAACAAATACAACAAATGGTTAATGTAGTGAAATGGTTTCTTTCCAATTTTATGCACCAAAACAGTTTGTTTGGGTTTAAAAATGAGGATATGGAGTAAAATAAGAACACCAGTTATGCTAAAAAAAAATAATAATAATAATTTTACACAAGTAGCTTTATGTACGCAAGTCGTGAAACCCAGGTGATAACTCTAAAGAAGTAAATCTTTTCATGAACTCTCATGATAATCCTATCTGTCTGAGTCGCCATTCATCATACCTAAAAAACACCCAAAATGACGGATATACGGATATCTTTGGACTAAGTCACTTGGCCCCCAGTCTTTTCACCTGTAGGACCTACAGCCACTAAAGGTCCCAGCTCACTGTGAATATGTTTCCTAATCACCCTATATGTACATTGTGTGCATCTATTTAAAATTATATCAAAGGCCTACATTTATAGCTACTGTATGCAACAATAGATGGTTTAAAATTTTCCCCCCACTGAAAAGATGAACAAATGTGGAATGTAAGAAAATAATTGTTATTTTGGAAAGAGCAAGGTGAGTCACAGTAATAAAATATATGTGGTAAGAAATTCTCACTTGACAAAAATGTTGCCAAAAATAGAGTTCACATTAAGAACCCAGGAACAAAAGTTTTATTCTAATTCTATGATAAGATTTTTTATATTTCAATTACTAACATTACAACGCACTGCAATCTAATTAAAGCATCTTAAACCTCAGGTTGTCATTCAAACACACAAAAAACAAGCCAAAAAGAAATAATGAATTGAAGCAAAATGGATTTCTGAAGGTAGAAAAACATTAACCTGGTAAATATTTATTACATTTATCTGAGGAAAATCACCATATCTCCTCGGGGTAAGTGCGGTCTCACATTATAATAAGCCATTATAGATGTGACTGAATATCAGCACACATGCATAGCATCAAATGTGACTGCCACTTTCCGCGCATTCCCCACAGTCCTTAACTTTTTAATCAATTAAAGTCCCTGCCTCCATAAAATTAATGATGGGGTGTCGCTCTTCTGCCATGCAGACAGCAGCGGATCCCTGAAGAAAAGAGTGATGAGATTTGACCTTCCACTTAATTAAAAACCAGCAAAATTTGGATCATCTGGCCCAGCCGGCGCAGGGAACACGCTGATAGAGTACAGGATGTGGACTCAGGGGAGCTCTGGGATGTGATGCTTTTGCCACCGGCATTGTCATATTGAAATCAGAGAGTTTTTAAATCCCCGGTTTCAGTCACAAGGGGGAAGAGATCCCCTGAATGTCCAGCCTTCTGAACCAGTGTTATTACAAAGACACATTTCATGGAGTTTTAACGACCTTTTCTCCAGCCCAATAGCATTTGGTGTTTATCCATTATCCAAACAAGTGACCCTCCCTCTGGAGACTCTAGAGATCATCTAGTGTCTTTGTCCTTCCAATCAATTGCATTTCTTTGGCTGGGGTTAGAAGTGCTCTTAGAAAGGACAAACTCAACAGTTTAATGGATGGATTGTGTTTCTTCAAGCCAAATTGTATGTGTGTTTTTGTGTGCACAAGAAAGCGAGAGTCAGAGTCATTATGAAAGGGTCACTTCATTGCAGTCTGGATGTGTTTAGCTGTGTCTTCTTTTCCCTCTTTTGTTTCAACATAATTGTGAAACACAAAGCTATACGGCTTCGATATTGTTTTAAAAAAGGGGGGATGCTCTTGCAGGGGCCAAAATGCTAATCTATTTGCACCAGGGTTGGACCCATAGACCTGTATAACATCTGTAATGGTGGTTGCAATATTGGAAAAGCTATCTCAACCCAACTATTGATCAATCTAGTAATAGGCAAATGGGTAGAGCTGGGGTGGGCCTTAAGCCTCCTGGCAAACAGCTACAATGCCTCCACTTGTCAGTCAAACAGTTGTTAGAAAAATGAGCTAGTGATACAAAATTTGTTTTTTTTTTGTACCAGGCTGTAAACATTTTTATTACTGCTGTAAAGAAATGTAATATGGGACCTATTTGGGATTCTGTTGCGTTTGCATCCAGCCTCTAGTGGACACTGGAGGAACTGCATTTTCTTTCAAACTTCCATATTGGCTTAATTTTTCAACACCTCAGGTTGCTTCTTGGTTGTACTGCAAACTTAGCTTTAAACAGCCAAGTGTATGCAGCATGATATTAAGTTCTCTAACCAACAATACTATTAGCACCACTGTGATAGCAATGTAGTCAATAACCACCCACATCCCAAAATACTCCTGCAGCCAGCTCGAAACATACAACTTTGAGGAATTCTCCACACAGTAGACTACTGTTTACATCCAGTATGCAACCAAAACTCAACCTTTCAATATTTTAACTGAATTTTATATTCTTTCCATAACCTAAACAGGTTGTTTTTGTGCTTAAACTACAAAAAGCAACTATTTTACAATTTCCTCTCTAGCCAAAAATAAATAATTTCACACTGGAACAAAATTCCCTCAATAAGTCAGTCTCTAAATATCCATCGACTGCTGACACTTAACACCTGCAGTCAAAAAATATCTCTACATCACACTGCACTCAACTCCTGCTAAAGAAAATACACAACTGCGGACAACTCTTAGCACCAGCCGCTGTCAATAACCACCCTCTGTCCACAATCAACACCCGCAGCTGAAACTAAACGCCCACGGCAGTCAATAATCACCCACAGACGGTGCCCATGGCAGGAAGTTGAATACCTGCAGTGTTGCTTTTCTCACCTAGATGCAAATAAACAGACTGTAAAAAAAACCAAAAAAAAAACAGAAATATATTTTTCTGGAATAAGATATGATAACAAAAGATACTTTATTGTCCCCTTGGGTGAATTTTCCTTGGACTCCATCTGGCTGAAATTTTAACAAGGCATGGAGTCCTTGTCGCAGATGTCTGCGCCGCCTGGAACTGGATGTTTGTCCCAGAATGGTGAACTTATAGTTATGGGATATTTCTTTTGATATAACTGGGAGACTGCCTCGGACTAATTTTATCAATGACATTTCTTCAAAATGCTGCAAAAACTACAAATTACATTTTCTTTACATTCTTTGATCCTTGTCGGAGATCAAAATGTAAGAGAGGATACCTCAAAAACCTTGGCGAATAAAAACAAAAATATCTTCAGGGGTAGATCAAATGTGAGATATTTT